GTTGTGGGGGGAAAAGGAGTGAAGCCACGTCTGCGGGGGGAGGGGGGGGTGTACACCCTGGAAGCAACCTCGTTGAATCCGAGCTTGCTGATTTAAGTGTTCGTTGAGTCCGGGTTATTGTTATTGATTTTAAAAGAAGGGGGAAAATGGGTTATCCATCTCCTCTCGTTGAATCCGGGTTCCACTACTTTTTTTTAAAGACCTGCTATTTATATTGCTTGCAGTTGTCGTTTGCTATGCTTCCCTTGCCTGTTCCAATTCCAAGAGTTGATGAGTCAAGTATTTAATCTTCTCTGATACTGAAAAACATGGAGGTCCTGTGCACCCATCTTGATGATAAATGACCCCATGACAATAGTAAAGTTAAGAAGAAGAGTAGCCTGCTGAAACTGGTAGGAACACCATGAAAAGTGAAGATATTTCGCTTAGTAAAACCAAATGGTAGTCCAGATGACTATAATAGGTACCCAAGTTCAACTGCCATCCTCTTTAAAAATAGAGTCTATTCTACTCTGAGAAATAAATGGGTTTTATTACTGTCTACCACTTATAGTTATAGGGCTGACTAGTCAAGTGTTACTTCATTCTGTTTCTCTTATACCCGTGTTTTGGCTGGACGAAGAAAAATAAAGCTATATATGATTCTATGGATGCCTTCTTTAATTTTGTTGTCTAAGTTCTAAAAGAATGTATCACTGAGGTTATTTTTACGATGTATTGAGTAGGTCTACATACTTTTTCTTGGACAGAGTCATCACTGACTTGACTTGTAACGTGACAGTTACTGAAAAGAGACGTCAAGAGTCGGCCATCTGTGGTGTTATACGGTCATAATATTAATATTATATCACTACCCCAGTGCTTTCTTGTCACATCTCCATTTTTAATAACAGTGAAAACCGTTCATACTAATTGATGTGTGCGAGCTTAAGCAGATGACACATTTTCACTGTTACTGTTAGAAAAAATGGAGAAACGACAAGAAAGCACTGAGGACGCAATATGTTTAAGCTCATTGCCTTGCACAAAAAGATAATTTGATTCCTACTAGTCTTTACCATCATTTTATTGACCATCTCAGTCTTTCTGTTTGGACATTGTATCCCTCTCAACCTGAATAAGTCATGACTTTACAAAGCAAAAGCTGCCTGCCTCCTAAATCCTAAATTATCTAATATTGTATCAATTGATGTGTGAAAAAGGAACTTAACTACAATCGCTGATGTATGTTGGACTTTTGCAAAAGAATTGGACATGATATCATTTATCAGGCAAAGCTTAGGCGTGGCTGTTTTGTTTTTCGGGGGGGGGGGGGGGGGGGGGGGGTCACACGGGGTGTTTTCCTTTTATTACATTTTTGTACACAATTACAAGCTAGAAAGATAAATTATGATTGTGAACTCTATTATTATAATAGCCAGAGGTGAGATAATTCTGGCCTGACTCAAGGGATTGTAGCATCTTGGTCCATAAAACAAATCACCATGCTCAACCCACAAGCAGCATGGTGCATCTGGATTTATACATAAATCCGAATAAAACATTCTGCTGGATCAGAAGCCAGGCTATAATACAGTAGAAATGACTAATAATAATAATAATAATATAATATATAACATTTACATAGTGCATTTCCAAAAATAGTAGCTCAATGCGCTTTACATTGGAATAACCATTTTTCAAAAACCTTTCTTACTACTTCCTTTCTTGTCATGCAATATATACATTAATGCACACACACACACACACACACACACACACACATACACACAGACTATTTTCATCCAGACATAGGAACAGAACAATATAATGAAAAATAACGTTAAAAGCTTATGAAGGATAGGCCTGTAGGAACAGAAAATGTTTAAGATGTCTTTTGAAGCTATCAAGTGTTTTTATTTGTCTTAGTTCCATGGGTGATCTGTTCCACATAAATGGACCAAGATAGGAGAAAGATCTCTCTCCATATGATTTGTATGATTTTACAGGTGTCACAAGTAGGGTGTTATCGTTTGATGATCTTAGGTTTCTCCCTGGCTTATATATACTGATAAGTTCTTGTAGATAAAAAGGAGCAGTTTTATTTACACATGACGCAGATTTTAGACAATATTCTTTCTTTTACAGGGAGCCAATGCAATTCTTTTAATAATGGAGTGACATGGTCTCGTTTTTTAGATCTTGTTATCAGTCTAGCGGCATTGTTTTGAATGACTTGTAAACGATTCAAATATTTGTTGTTCAGACCTGCTAGGAGTGAGTTACAATAGTCTAATCTAGATAGGATAAGAGATGTTACCAGTGTTTTTGTGGTCTCTTCGTTTAAGTACTTTCGAACTAGGCCTATCCTTCTCACTAAATCTCAGCTGAAAATAAAGGGATTTTGACAGAGATCCTACAAACGAGCCCATTGATAAGTGGTGGTCAATATTGCGGGACCTTACAGGAATCTCCCTTTTTTTCCTATGTAAACTCAATTACTTATGCTTGGATCGGGGCAAGGAAAGTTCCGAAGCAGGAGAGATCGAGCGAGCTCTAGCTGGGGGTGGGGGCCTGTAGGCGGGCACCAAATGCCAAACACGGGCAGTCAGCGATGCGACATTGTGACTGGCTTATCCAGTAATGAGTGAGGTGGGGCAGGCGGTAGACCTAGAATAGGCTAGAGAGAGATGGTGCGGAGAGACTCCTTACGTGAACCACTCCAAAAGTGATGTAGATAGTAGATCTTAGAAGTAGAACATGACTATAGCGGTGCCCGCTGCTGTGGGACCTTACCGGAATCCCCGTTTTATGCAAAACTCAATTACCTGTGCTCGGGTTTAACGGGGCAAGGAAACGCCCGAACTTGGATAGAGCGGGGGAGATCAAGCGAGCTCTAGCTGTGGGGGAGGGCTGTAGGCGGGCTCCAAACAGGCAATCAGCGGTGTAGCGTTGTGATTGGCCAGTCCAGTGATGATGAGTACATGTAATACGGGGTGCCCACTACAGCTGGATTAGGCCGATCGCCTGAAACTGAAAACAAACACTCGAGGCGATCGGCCCGATCAGCCGACCCCATCCGTAGTGGGCACCCCGTACATGTATAAGGTGGGGGCAGGCGGCAGAGAGAGAGAATGTGTGGAGAGAGATGCGTAAACGTCTTCAGGAACCAAAAGTTCCGCTATAGCTAGCAGCGTTCTACTGTTGTATACGTGTGTAACGTGTCACGGCCCTTGTCGACGTAGGCCTACATGTGCAGTAGTTGTTGTTTTTTCTCTTATCCCGAACCCTGTCAGTCCTCTGGTCACCTCGAACCTGTCACCACATAGATTAGATCTAGACAAAAGCGTGTCTTTAAAAAATTAAAGCTTCGCGGGCTCCGCTCCAGCCTTAAGGTCATCAAGCTACATGTACATGTATCTTGCAACGCCAGATAATTTGTCGGCAGACTAGAGTGGCGTGAGAGTGAGGGAGATTATCAGGGAGCCAACCAATGGGTTGCGAGTGGATGGAGTATGGAGGACGTCACTCGTAGCTCCAACTTCTTTACTTTCCTTCATGTGTTTCTACCTGTCCTATTATTATTCCCAGCGATAAACTAAATGACCTATATTGTGTCAGTATACTTCCCTTTACTCAAATGAGTGGATGCCGTGCCCTGTGTATAATGTGTGCCTCTGGCGGCCAGTTCACTGGTGGTGTGGCGGGGAAAATTGGTCGCTTTTAAGCACAAGGGGGCTGTCCCGAAAAATGTTGTTTTGAGAAAATCGAAGGTAAAGTTTTTGCCCCTCGTTCGGTTTCTTTAAAAGACAAGGAGAGTTTTCTCTATTACCAAATAAATATACACACCAATGATATCAAACTTCTACTATAGGTATGGCATTGCCCATTTTTGGTGTAGGCACAATTTATGCATTGCACTATGTTTACGTAGTATAAAGGTGTTCATTTTCATACACTGGCAAAATCTAGCGGTAAGCGGGGCTGGCGGTATAATGATGTTTGACTGAACTTGTCTCTTCTTATGTCTTTTTATGATAGTACGTCATGGGCAGGGGCGGCTCGTGGGGCTAAAAAGTGGGCGTGCACAATTAAGCTATAGCAGGTTGAAGATAGCCAAGGGCATGGTAAATGGATTGTCGCTTTGATTTTTAGAACTAATTCTGTTTGTTAGCTAAAACTAAGCATCAGTTTCTTCGTCCTGCATTGGAACCGAACACTCAAGTAATAAACTTCACCACTCGACAACGAAACCATTCAAAGGCACAACTCACAGGACGCAGGACGGTGACTTACGTATGTCGCGTTCACCTCCCTCAGGTTCACTCACGGTCACAGAGTCTCTTGAAATAGTGGCAAGACAGTCTGAGGTCCCATTTTTCTTCTCCTTTATCTTTTTAAGATTAGTACATGTAAGAAAATTGTGAAGCTCGAACACAAAACACGGAATGGTCGAACTAATTACACCGCCGTAGAGGTCTAAAGTCAATGTCCTTTGATGTGCAACTAGATTTTGTTTTTAATTTTCTATTCTGGTTGTTGTTGGAAATACCTAGGATTCGTGGGCTACATAATTGACACTAAAAATTAATTAATTATATAAGACTAAAATTGGTGAGGTCAAACGGGTGCCCATAGCGGATGGGATCGGGTCGGGTCGGGATGATCGCCCGACTCGTCGCCTGAAAATGAAAACACACGCGTTTTTTTAAATATGGGGTGCCCATTCATTGGGGGATCGGATCTGATCGGGACAGTTTCCTAGCCAGATTGAGCACGCAATGCGGCTATAATATATTTAATTTTGTTGTATAGTTTATATCGTGGCACAAGCTGATCGCGCCCAACACGTCGCCTCAACTTTCAGGCGATGAGCGGCGAGTGGGGCGATTGCCCCCGATCGGACGGGCACCCCCGTATGAGGCAACGAGTTGGGCGCGATCGGCTTGTGCCATGACAGCCGCTTTGCACCCTCAATCTGTCTGGCTAGCGAACCGACCCGACCCGATCCCCCATTGGACACTGGGGGCACGGGCCGAGAAAGCTCAGCCGGCACGGGTGACAGGCAGGCACCCCGTGATCAGGGGCGAGCACTCTCTTCAATCAAACTCTTCTTGACTTCTTGAGTGAGTCCAGAATGGCAGACTCTATCGTAAACAAGAAAAGTGTGTGTATCATTACCGGCGCGACCAAAGGGCTTGGCAAGGCAATTACGTCGAATCTAGCTAAAGAACTTCCAAAGGGATCATTGTTCATTTTGCTGGCTCGCAGCCAGGACCTCCTGGATCGTATTTCTAGTCAAGTAAAGGAAAACGATGGTATTGAATCTGTATCAATGCCATTTGACCAAAGTTGTGCAGATGGCGAAACCAATAAGAAAATGTTACAGGATGCTTTGGCCAAAGCTGGTGTTGCAGTCAGTCAATATGAACAAGCCATACTGATTAATAATGCTGGAACATTAGATCATCTTGATTACTCACGAAATCTAGATAGGTTAGATGTTTCTACAGAGTATTTCAAAACTAATTTGAGTGGATGTATTACTTTAACTGCAACATTCCTTCAAGTCTTCAGAGCTCCAGATGTGAAAACCAGAGTTGTCGTCAATATTTCATCTCTTGCTGCGATTTCTCCAATGAAAAGCTGGCTGCTATATTGCATGGGTATGTATTTTAATCTGTTCTTCTAGCTGCGTCCTCAAGATTCAAGATGATTTGTCTTTCTTGGAATTAGCAGCCTGAACAATAAATTGATTCAGCTCAGCAATGCTGATCCCAACAATCGTCTCTGCGTGTCGCAAATGGGACCCTGCGTGGGGACTCTGTACAATTGCGCTCCTGTTGGTTTACATGACGGCCATTGTGGAAGTGATAGTGAAGGAAGAAGTTGTACGAAAAAGTCTGATTACCAGATTAGCTGTTTGAACAGTTTGGTTGTAGATTTAGAATCTGGAGTGTGTATTAACCCTGGAAGTGCATAGTAGGCCCTATATAAAGGGTGAGAGTAGGGCTACCCGGGAAGCGCGCTATGCTATATAGGGCTGACCTACTTTGACCAGGAAGCGTGCAGGCCCTATATAGGGCATAGACGCTGACCTTTTTCAATTGAAAATTTAGGTATTCCTATGTGGAAAATGACGTAAATTACAGACCAGGTCAAAGTTATAAATAGTGACCAATGACTTTGCAAGTTATCTTGACCTCGTAGAGCATCTCTTGGCCTAGATATCGGTCGACAAAGTGATGCGGTCCAGCTGAGCGACTATGCGCTACATCTCTTGTTCTGCTGTGCTAATGTGCAAATTGTTGAGTTATATATCGCGTTTTGCACTTGTTTACTTTTGGCTATTTATTTGATCGCTGATCATTTTTGAATGGCTCATTCTATCAGCTTTTAGAAAAGTCTGAAAAGATATGGCTTTATATGCCTTTTATTATCTGTTGATCTGTAAATGGTCAAAATTCAGTAGCAGGTATACATCTCTGGTACCTCAGCTGATACCGCCCCGCCATACCCCCATGTTTACAACCGATCGTCAGCTTTGGCGGCGGGGCATTTTTGATGAGTTACTTCCAGTGAAACGCTGCACAGTTCTGGGGTTAAGTGGCCCTATAGTGTGTTTCTTTCATGAAGCTACAGCGAGCACCAAGCACAACTCTTTGATTGGCCCAAATAAAGATGACATATTTCCCCCATTTATTTTTGTCGCCTTCCAGGGCTTCCCTCACCAGTTGACTAGATCTAGATCTCACCTTGGTGGGCCCGCTTTGCCGCTTAGCGTGCGATGGTCTACGTCTCTGTTGTCACTAGGTTTCATCGTCGACTGCTTGGGTTTTGGGCTGTGTGTGTACGTGAGTGCGCTTGTGTGTGTGTGTGTGCACACGCTTGTGCATGTGTGTGTGTGTGCTCACACACTTGAGTGTGTGTACGTACAACTTTGAGGAGAAGGTAAATTTATGAAACGAAAATTGCTGAGATTGTTTTTATAAAAGATTTATGACACAAAAATTAATATGTAAAAACAACGCAGTGTGGCTACGTTCACAGTGCCCTGAATGCAGTTTGCAGGCGCTTTTGAGGCTACGTTCACGGCACTCATCAAGCTTCCTTAAATAGACTGAGTGTCCACTGCCGGTCTAAATAAGCCGGTTTTAGTCAGTGACGACAGTGGTGTATATTTATTATTTTGGCCTGCTTCAAGCGTTCCATCCCATGAGATGAAGGAATGAGATTTCAGTATCTTTTTATATTGTTTATCTTTTTTATCTATTAAATTGTTGTTAAATTTCCTTATGAAGTCAGTCATGCAATGGAGAACTTTTTTACTTCAATTAAAAAGAAAAAAAAGAGAGACAGAAAGACCCCCCCAAATTAAAGTAAAAAACATAGGAAACATGGAACAACGGGAAAAAATCCTATTACTGCGTTTATTTCGGGTTTCACACAATATTGTTATTGTTAAAATTGAGAATTTGTGAGCTTAATAATGTACATTACAATACCACGTTATTTCGAATATTAATTTGCCTAAACTTACTGAAACTTTTCTTGTACCCAGCATACAACTTCCACCTTCACTTCCACAATGGCCGTCATGTTAACAAACTGGACCACAATTGTACAGGAGTGCCCCTGTGTGCATTTAACTTCAATGCAACATATGACATGCGCGCTTACACTTTGACAAATTCCAGTGTATCTTGCAACACTCTACAGTAGAACCTGTGTAAGACGGCCACCCATCGTCACGGAGAAAAGTGGCCGTATAAGACAGGTGGCCGTCTTTGGCAGGACTGATCATGGTGAAGAGAACAAACCATTTCTTTCTGAGGTCCCAACCGAAGGTAGCCGCATTGTTGTTATTGTTGTTGTGGTTGTTTTTTCTTATTCTTTCTTTTGTTACTGCTTTTGTGCAAGGGTGACATTAAAACGAAATGTGTCAGACAAGGAGGGCCGATTGCTATGGTGAAACAAACACACGGGTTGCCACCCCTCAGAGAACAAGCGATGCTTCTGTCACAAGTTCATGTTGATGTCCATTGTTACTTTGTTTCAGACTGGGTAAACAGTGACCACTCATCTCACTTACGATCTGTGTATGAGTTCTGGGCGGGGCTTAAAATCATGGGTTATGAAGGATCACACGCTTACGTCACCGGCAGCTCAAAATTTGTTACCTATTGGTCAACTGTGGGAGGGGCCTACGCAACTTGATCGATTGGAGGGACTACCTAACAACAACGACAGGTGATTTGATTATGACGGCTCGCCCACAACGCCAGGGGCTAATGCATGGTTTATGACAAAACGTAAAATGGAGTCACTAAGGTGGCCGTCTAAGACAGGTGTTTTAATTGCTTGGTGTGATAGGGATTGTGTTTTAAAATATGACGGCTGCGTTGGACAGGTGCCGTTTGTACAGGTGGCCGTGAGGGCAGGTTCGACTGTACTTCAATTTCATATTGCCCCACAGCAGTTTAATTTTCAAGGTTAGTTAAGGACACGTTTGGTTAAGCAGCAAAGAGAAGAAATGCCTCTAGCTGTGAGCCCTGAGCGGTGCTGATAGTTTGGGTGGTATGGTTGTGAAATCCTACCATTGTTTGATGTGAAAGTGCTGAAGTGGCATGCCAGAACGAAAACTTTCCTGGGTAGTCAGAGATGTGAAATTAATTTGACCACTGTCTGCCGCCCTGATCATATATCCAACTGGGAAAAAAAGTTTCTTGAATTGTTATTACATGCAGGGGAGGGGTTGCATTGGTTCAATCATTTCTGTTTTTAATTGGCCAAACAGGGGTTGTATGAGATGTAATCACTGGAGGCAATGAATAAGTAAGACTGATGCTTACCATGATCAGAGAGGCAAGGACAGCACTTGAGAGGTTTGAAGTTTTGACCACTGCCTGCCGATGGGACCGACGACCCTTGATCCCACCATGTATGGGTTGGCCCTCTGGACCCCTCCCCTCTGAATTCCTATCCAAGATGGAAAATGTCTTCTAAAGTCAAAATTCTTTTCTAGCTTCCTTGTGATTCCGTCTTGGTACAGGTTCAAAGGTATCCAGCCAAAATACAGATTTTATTTTTTTAAAAATTAATTTCCTGACATTTTTGTATATTATTTTTATGTAAAACCCATTTATCAGAATTTCTATAAGGAAAGAAACCCCAACAGATTTAGGTCTATAACCTAAACACCTACAGATTAATTTAGAATAGGTTACACCCTGCTGAACATGAAATCTGCTTGAACACGAAGAAATTTTCTGGTCTTGTGAAATTAATGCTTTTAGGATTTTACTGTACCGCTTTATAATATTGGCTGATCCTATTTTATAGCATTTTGATTTTTTCCTGAATACATGATGACAGTTTGAATAGGAAAGTATTTTTTAAGTCATTGATTGAATAATATTTAATATTGCATTGTAAAATATTTTTGTTCATTTTCTTTTTCACAGCTAAAGCTGCGAGAGAAATGATGATGAAGATTGTTGCTGCTGAAGAAGAGAACACCAGGACTCTGAACTATGCTCCAGGTCCTCTAGTCACTGAAATGACCACAACTGCCAGTGACAAAACTCAAGATCCTGAGCTCCGCAAGTGGTTCACAGGTAGAAATTATGCTTTTTGAAAAGATTGACTTGCCTGTTCTCTCTATAAACAGAATTTTGTGGGGAACGGGATAAAACATTGTTTTACATTTGTTGGTTTTCCTATGATATTCATTTCATTACAAGAAAACTTCTTCTTTTGGGTTTTTTCCAAAATTGTTCGTACTCTACTTCATAATTTACACTTGTTAAAAAAAAGTTTTCAGTTTTTTGGGGAGTACAATATTTCTCAACCCACACAGCCTTGTTCAAGACATTTTCTACTCAGAAATAGCTCACCCAAGGCCCAATCACAACTGTTACCAACATAGAAGTTGGTTACATTTATTACTGCCAATATCACTGTTAAATTTTCTGTTGCAAATGATTTCCTAAATTCTGATTGGAGGAGCCTTCAATTGGTGTGTGGCTTGAAAAAAAATGAGCCACATATGATAATATAACATATGTGAATATAGTGGATGGAAATCATGCATGCTGTGCATTTTAGTTAGTGTAATTTTTCTTATGTGATCAATCTCAACATCAAGTTGAAGACCTAAACTATTTGGGAAGAGACATACAGGATGCGGCTCCCATTAGTTTATTTGGTTTTGCTTTTCAATATAATGCTGACGATCCCATAGATAATGGAGGAAATGTTCAGGCCTACCTAGCGTCCTTCGAAAGACGTCATTATGGACGATATGAAAGTCTTCATAGCTGGTACAAAATTTATACTATTTTTCTGTCTTTTATGGGTTCCATTGTTTGATCTTGTTCTTCTTGACTGAGAAAAAATAAGCTTGAAAATTGACAGGTCAACTTCAATTTGATATCTAGATTCAATTCTAGTTTTTGTTTTTTCTTTTGATGGTGGGGGGATTATCGAAATGCAACCTTATCTGACCGATTCCGATTCCATACAATTTTCTTTCATCCTAGGACCAATTTTAGACAGTCTGATCACAGTTATCTTCTGCAGTTGTAGGCCTACTGATCATGGGACTTGTGCGTAGATAGAACCTGAAAGAGCCAAGGGCCTACTCCTTGGATTTCCAGGATCATGAGCTGTGACTTTTCCCACATACTGGAAAATTTTCTCTTAAGTGATGTAGAGGGTCACACACTATGAAAGCCAAAAGCCGGCCTTTTAAGGCAACCCCTTTGTTGGAATTCACTTGGGAAAAGGAAGAGAAGAAGACCAAAGAACACTTTATGCGAAGAGGTGGCACATGATACAAGGAGGTAGGGGCATATGTGGGAACAGCTGTGGAAACTAGCCCAGGATTGAGATGGGTGGAGTACTCTGGTTAGTGGCCTATGTTCCAGACAGGACCCTTGGCCTAAGTAAGATGTAGAAGAGGAATATGTACAAGAACTAGGATATAGGGATTGCTACTTCAAAGTGAATCCTCTTGTTAAAGAGTGCTTGCAAAATTTTCAATCTTCATATTTGCCTCAAAGAGACCTCACAGATGATGAAGCCACCTGCCCATTCAAGGGGTGTTTGAGTTTTAAGGTATAGAATCCCCTATGAAGCCCTGTCAGTTTTGATAAACTTGACACCTTGTGTGAGTGCTCTTCAGGATACTTCCAATATTTTAACTTTTATTGAGCTCAAACTTCTCCCCTGGATAAACCTGCTGACGCAACAGGCATGTCGGACACAGCTCGGTCCATGGAAAAAAATTGTTTATGGACTCACGGAAAAAGCAGGGTGCTTAGGCAAAGGGTATCATTTATCCATGGACAACCACTATAACACATCGCCAGCCGTCTAAAAGATGTTTTGGACATACACTCATAAAGCCAGCCCACAATGTGACAGGACAAAGCCTAAGACAGAACCCCCATTGGAGGAAAAAGAGAGTGGGGCCAAGATCCACCTGGGAGCAAGATCAACAGGCAGATCTCAGGCAATATATATGGGGCAGCTGGCTGGAGGAGGAGAAGATCGCCCAGAAAGGAGAAAGGTGGAGAGCCCTTCTAGGCGGCCTATTACCAATACCAGGGTAAAAGAGGCGAATCGTGATGATGAAACCCTAGAACACTCAGAAACATTTCATGTTCTTTACTCAAGTAAATCTCTCATTTCTAGTCAGTCCCAAGGGGAAATAATCTACATTCCTATTCAGGTCTGTAAGGACTAAGACTTAATGATTATTTTGTTTATTTTCAGAGCAAATTGAAAAGAAATCTCTTGTGGAGTGTGATGACTCAGCTCAGAAGTTGATTGCGATTCTCAGAAAGAATACCTTTGAGAATGCACTACACATTGATTACTATGATGAAATCTAAAGATACAGAGTTTGTAAGTTTGTTTTATCATAAAAAGTTTTCAAGTAAATCTGGTTCATCGTCTCATCATTATCTTCATCCTTTAACTTTAAGGGGCTCGACAAATATAACCCACATTTTCTTACCTACAACTGCTTAAAAAAACTATTAGTATAATCTTTTATTATGGGTGGAAATATTCAGAACCAACTATAAATTGTGTGTTCAGACTTGCTTGTAGCCATGGAAACAGCCGCCACTTTGTTTTGTAAACAATGGGTACATTTTTCATTCCTGCACCATTTCTTTATTTTTTTCATATTTAAAATTCTTTTTACTTGTAATGTGTTCTTTGCATGTAGTTACTAATAGCTGGCTACTTAACACATTACTACACCCTGGATCGCCCGCAAAATTTCCTTACGCACTCCACCCTAACTCACCCGGAACGGCCCTCTCCGACAAGGCGTCTTTAGAAACAAAGTCTCGCCTTAACGAGACTCTGGGACGGTGATTTTGTTTTACATCGTTATTGCAAAATGTTTCTTCTTCCATTTGATACCGAAATCAAATTTTTCAGGTTAGTAGTTTTAGTATTAGAGCCGATCGAAGTGCGATCCCGTTTCTGACACTTAAAAGGTATCTCAACTCGTTGAAATGCAACACAATTGAGTTTGAAAAAGGAAATGGCGATGAATTTGAGCAAGAACAAGCAATTGACTAATCAGATGAATCAGATATTGAAGAAAACGTTGTCACAAGAGTTTGGGGCGATTCAGATTAATCAGATGAAGAATTTAGATCTAGGGCCCGACTGCGAGGCTGAGAGTGAGAGTGACTGGTTGCACACCCCGATTTAATAAAGTTACAACATTTCCAACAGCTTGTACACACATAAAGTTATATTTTTGTGAAACTACATTCATTTCTCTTTTTAATGGGTTTTTTTTTCAGAATTTTTGGAATTTGTTTAGTATTTTAAATGTGTTTTTAAAACGTTTGTATTCAAGGGAGGTGGGTTCCTTCCCCTTTGCGTAGGATTTGGGGTAGACTTCCCGTCCAGACCATTAGGGTGTAATGTGTTAAAATGGCTATTTCATCCATTTTATGTAGTTTTCAGAGCTATTGTAAAAGTACAATACATTTTTTGAAAAAAATTCCACAACCTACTTTGAACAAGAGGCCATGAAAATTAAAATATTGCAAATGACAAAGCTTTGAGTAGCCAGTTATTTGTAGACACAGCTAAGCTAATAATAAGCCAGATTTTAAGGCTTTATCCTTGATAATTTAAAAAAAAATGGTGGAGGAAAGAATATTAAAATGACAGGAAAATATGAGTTTTGAGAAAAAAGCAGATAAAGTTGACAATTGTTAGTTGACACACTGCATACAGTGTAAGGACTCGCTTAGGACTCTTTTCAGAGTGTTTTTAGACATTATAGCCAATATATTTGTAAACTAGATTGATTCAAACTTTCAGAAAATGTCTCAAACCCAGTTTCGATATTTTACAAGAAAATTGAATCTCATGGGATGGACTTCAACCTGCAAGCCCCCTTAACTCTTTCTAGCTTCCTTTTTTTTTGTCTATCCTCTTTTTCCCTCTTCTTTGTGCTCAAATTATATCAACCATCTTTGTAACACTGAATCCATTTGTTTATGCCTTTTCACAGCATATTCTGTCCCAAGTTGTTCATCTGTGTGTATATTTGGCTCCACATAGGGCTTATGTTGTAGATAATGAGGTAATAACCACCACAAAAATTGTAAGTCGCTTCTATGATGTGGGAGAAAGAGTTTGAGATTCCTTCTGATTTATCATAAGATTCAGAGCTACACAGTGACTCCAATAATTGTGCAAATATGTCTCTCAAGGCAGAATTTCATCCTACGAATCTATTAACATGAGGGGCTGAGATGCAAAACCCGCTACATCCATTTAAGTGCTTTTGGGAAAATCAGCTTTTATTAATGCTGATATGCGCTAGAACATGAGTAAAAAGATTTTTGGTGGATTTTATGAAGTATTTGTTGGGTTTTGGCTGAAAACACTTTGTGCATCTGATAGCCGGTAACAGTGTGCATTTATTAGCAAATAATATTGATTTTTTTTCCAAATGTCCCTTAGCAGGTTTTGTATCTCACCCCCTCAAATGTAAAATATTTATCAGAAAATTATGTGAGATTGTTTTTATACGTTCATTTTCTACCTTGTGATTGCAGAGACATGTGTTGCTTTCCTGGCTTCATTCATTGTAGCAGCAATTGCTTTCAAAATACAGAGTACCTCACAACCAAAAAATTTTTGGGGTCTGACTCAGTATTGTTAAAGTTTAATTAATTTGAGGCTTCAGTGGCAGCAAGATGTGGCTGATAAAAACATCTTCAATTAATAATTCTGTAGGGGTAATTTTCTTTTCCTTGATGCCACTGCAAAAATGTGAATCAAGGACTAACTCAGACGAAGGCAGGGGCTCTCATGGCCCAGAGGTTAAGGTGTTGGCCTCTCATTTAGAATACATCATTTTTGCACCTTTATAGAGTATTCACGCCCAACAGGCATAAAAACAATATACATACACTCCTTTGCTAAACACCTGCCCAGTCTAGCCCAGTCTCAGAAATTGTCCCCAAATGGGCATTTGTTAAATTCTACATTAAAACCGATTGTCGCTG